ATCACCGTCCTTGAATGAGACTCAGAGCAGGGAGCATTATAGCCTCATCAGCCTCAGTAATGCTCCTCCTGATGTCATTCTCACCATCCTCACCAGATGGCCTCACCACCCTCACCAGCTGGCCTCACCATCCTCACCAGCTGGCCTCACCATCCTCACCATCCTCACCAGATGGCCTCACCACCCTCACCAGCTGGCCTCACCATCCTCACCAGCTGGCCTCACCATCCTCACCAGCTGGCCTCACCACCCTCACCAGCTGGCCTCACCATCCTCACCAGCTGGCCTCACCATCCTCACCAGCTGGCCTCACCATCCTCACCAGCTGGCTGGCTCACCACCTCACCCAGCTGGCCTCCACAGCTGGCATCTCTCACCCAGCCTCACCAGCTCCACCATCCCTCACCAGCTGGCCTCACCAGCTGGCAGCTGGCCTCACCAGCTCCCTCATCCTCACCAGCCTCACCTGGCCTCACCCTCACCAGCTGGCCTCACCACCCTCACCAGCTGGGCTGGCCTCACCACCTCACCAGCTGGCCTCACCCCACCAGCTGGCCTGGCCTCACCCCTCAAGCCCTAGCTGGCCTCACCATCCTCACCAGCTGGCCTCACCATCCTCACCAGCTGGCCTCCTCACCAGCTGGCTTTCACCATCCTCACCAGCTCCTCACCAGCTGGCCTCACCACCCCTCACCAGCTGGCCTCACCACCTCACTAGCTGGCTCACCACTCCTCACCAGCTGGCCTCACCACCTCACCAGCTGGGCCTCACCTCACCAGCTGGCCTCACCCACCTCACCAGCTGGCCTCACCACCTCACCAGCTCCTCACCATCTCACCAGCTGGCCTCACCACCCTCACCAGCTGGCCTCACCACCTCACCAGCTGGCCTCCCTCCTCACCAGCTGGCCTCCTCATCCTCACCAGCTGGCCTCACCACCTCACCAGCTGGCCTCACCACCCCTCACCAGCTGGCCTCACCACCCTCACCAGCTGGCCTCACCACCCTCACCAGCTGGCCTCCCCCCCTCACCCTGGCCTCACCACCCTCACCAGCTGGCCTCACCCCCCTCACCAGCTGGCCTCACACCCCACCAGCTGGCCTCACCATCCTCACCAGCTGGCCTCACCACCCTCACCAGCTGGCCTCACCCCACCTCACCAGCTGGGAGTTAATGTGCCAAGCTCTCCGTAATGTTAGTTGTGCTCATTACCTCATTCCTCCATATTCAATTAGTTAGTTTCATGCTAAGTTAAAGTAGTTGGGCTTTTCTCTTTAAAAGTTAATTTAATTACTTTAACTGTAGCTCATTAGGGAGGAGGGGAAGGGGGAAGGGAAGGGAGAGGAGGGAGGAGGACGGGTAGGGGAGAGGAGGAGGACGGGTAGGGGATTGGGAGTCGAATCACTGAACACCTGTCTCCTTTACCTGTGATGATATATTTAGATACACTTCCTAGCCTGACTTTAAACTCTCATGAACAGACTTAGTTGTGTTGCGCTATCTAGGGTTAGGTTAGGTTAGGTTGTTGTTGGATTGGGATAGATTAGGTCAGGTTAGATCAAGTTAACTTAGGTTAGTTAAGTTAGATTAGGTTAGGCATAGGGTTGGGTTATGTTATGTTGGGCTCCTTGCTCTTGTCTCTTCCTTTGGGTTAAGGAGTATCCTCCTATGGCAGCCACCAGGGTCCCAGCTATGGTCCTGGGGTGGGTTATGGTCCCTAGGGTGGGTTATGGTCTTAGGGTGGGTTATGGTCTGGGGTGGGTTATGGTCTAGTGGGTAATAGTCCTGGGTGGGTTATGGTCTTAGAGTGGGTTATGGTCTTAAGTGGGTTATGGTCTGGGGTGGGTTATGGTTCAAGGTGGGTTATGGTCCTGGGGTGGGTTATGGTTCAAGGGTGGTTATGTCTAGGGTGGGTTATGTTTAGGGTGGATTATGGTTTTAGGGTGGGTTATGGTCTAGGGTGGGTAATAGTCCTAGGGTGGGTTATGGTCCTGGGGTGGGTTATGGTCTTAGAGTGGGTTATGGTCTTAGAGTGGGTTATGGTCCTGGGGTGGGTTATGGTCCTGGGGTGGGTTATGGTTCAAGGTGGGTTATGGTCCTAGGGTGGGTTATGGTTTTTGGATTATGGTTTTAGGGTGGGTTATGGTCCAGGGTGGTAATAGTCCTAGGGTGGTTATGGTCCTGGGTGGGTTATGTCTAGGGTGGGTTATGGTCTTGGGTGGTTATGGTCCTGGGGTCGCTTATGGTCCTAGGGTGGGTTATGGTCCTGGGGTGGGTTATGTCCTGGGGTGGGTTATGGTTCAAGGGTGGGTTATGGTCTAGGGTGGGTTATGGTTTTAGGGTGGATTATGGTTTTAGGGTGGGTTATGGTCAAGGGTGGGTAATAGTCGGGTGGGTTATGGTCCTGGGGTGGGTTATGGTCTCTAGGGTGGGTTATGGTCTTAGGGTGGGTTAAGGTCCTAGGGTGGGTTATGGTCCTGGGGTGGGTTATGGTCTTAGGGTGGGTTATGGTCCTGGGTGGGTTATGGTCTTAGGGTGGGTTATGGTCCTGGGGTGACTTATGGTCCTAGGTGGGTTATGGTCCTGAAGTGGGCTAACTGATAAACAGACAGTCAAAAATTTTATCCAGTACATGAATTATCCGGTCCGTAAGAATTATCTGGTCCGTGAGTTATCCGGTACGTGAAATGTTATCCGGTCGAAGTTATCCGGTACGTGAAATGTTATCCGAGTTATCGGACGTGAAATGTTATCGGTCCATGAGAGTTATCCGGTCCGTAAAGTTATCGGTCCGTGGAAATATCTACTTGAAAGAAACATGAAAAAAAAACTAGATAATAAATAAACAAGAAAACAAATTATAGATAAAGGTAAAAAAATTGAGATAAGTAAACAAGTTATAGAGATAAGTTAAACAAGTTATAGAGAGAAGTAAACAAGTTATAGAGATAAGTAAACAAATTATAGATAAGTAAACAAGATAGAGATAAGTAAACAAATTATAGATAAGTAAATAAGTTATAGAGATAAGTAAACAAATTATAGATAAGTAAACAAGAGAGATAAGTAAACAAATTATAGATATAAACAAGTTAAGTAAATAAGTAAGTTATAGATAAGTAAACAAGTTATAGAGATAAGTAAACAAATTATAGATAAGTAAACAAGTTATAGAGATAAGTAAACAAATTATAGATAAGTAAAAGTTAAGTAAATAAGTAAGTTATAGATATAAGCAAATTATAGATAAGTAAACAAGTTATAGATAAGTAAAAGTTATAGAGATAAGATAATTATACGTGAGGTGAATATAACTGGTTCCCAAGGCAGTGGAGGAATTAACTTGTATTTGTTGGAAGTTTGTAGAAGCAATCACTCGGTAGCTCTCCTGCAGGCTGTGTTGGAGCAAACAGTGGTGGTGCTGGTGGTGGGAGCTAAGTAACGCATTGTTGGAGTAGTGTGGGGGTAGTAGGGTATGTGGAGGGTGGAGGATGTGTTGGAGTAGATTGAGGGAGTAGAGTGTGTGGGGGGGAGGATGTGTTGGAGTAGATTGAGGGGAGGAGTGTGTGAGGGTGGAGGATGTGTTGGAGAGATTGAGGGAGTAGTGTGTGAGGGTGGAGGATGTGGGAGTAGGTTGAGGGAGTAGAGTGTGTGTGAGGGTGGAGGATGTGTTGGAGTAGGTTGAGGAGTAGAGTGTGTGTGAGAGGGTGGAAGATGTGTTGGAGATTGAGGAGTCGAGTGTGTGAGAGGGTGGAGGATGTGTTGGAGTAGAGTCAGGATTATATGTTTTAATATAATCTCTATTTTATCATTTATCTCTATAATCACTATAATCCTTCAGTAATTTAAGGCTTAATATAACTGATCATACAACGGCAATAATTCACCAACTTAATCAAAACTGAAATAACAGAATTAAATATTTTGTAAAAGATTTTATTTTTTCTTTAGTAATTAATATTCAGTTTTTTTTCTCCGTGTTTTTTTTTAGTAATTAGGTATGACTTAATTAATTTGAAGAGGTTAATTAGAGGAAGGTTAATAGGTTAATTGGAGGTCTGTGTTGGGTTAGGAGGGAAAAGCTGGCTGCAAGACGGTGTGTACTGAGAGGGGGGAAGGGGAGAGGGTGGGGGAGAGAGAGAGGGGGAGAGAGGGAGGGGGGGGTGGGGGAGGAGGGGGTGGGGAGGAGGGGTGGGGAGGAGGGGGTGGGGGAGGAGGGAGGGGGGGGGGGAGGAGGGAGGCAGTTGGAGGGAGAGGAGTTATCCAGGGAAATTGTCCTAATCCCAAAGTGAAAAAATGGGAAAAAACGAAAATAAAAGGGAAAACAAAGAAAGGAAGAGAGAAGAGAGAGAGAGAAGAGAGAGAGAGAGAGAGAGAGAGAGAGAGAGAGACGAAGAAGAGCAAGGAGTTTAGATCATATAATTGAGGAGGAATATAACCTTGTCACTCGAGGAGGAGGAGGAGGAGGATATTCCAGCTTCCTGCCCCTACTACCACATCGCCTCACAAGTCACACCTCCTCCACACCACCACACACCATATCATAATACCATCTACTCCTGTAAATCAAAGCTCACCAAAATATATCCAGCGCTCTCAACCTTCCACCAAGCCACAAGATTTCACACGGCCCAGCGAGTCCTACCCTTTGCCACCACTTGTCAACAAACCATTGGTGATGAGAAACAACGAGTACAAAATTATTGCCGTAATATAAAAAGATTCGAATAAACTTAATCTAGCAATACCTGATTTAATAAACTTAATCTAATATATATAAAAAAAATAAGTAAAGATCAAAAGTAATGTATTTTCAGGCGTTTGAAACAAAATAAACGGCTTTTATAAATTAGCAGCTGAGGAAAAAAGATGACGCGCTTTCTGTGCTGCGTAAGAATGTCGAGAAGCTCAACGATGCCTAGAACTTGATGATGATTTGATGATTAATGAATTATTGCCACACATTACCATAAATATATCAGATACATGAGATTTTGTTTAAAGAATTTGTTCAATGTTGACGTATAGACGAGCTGCCAAATATACGTATAAGATAGTACTTGGCAGACCTCCTATAAATCCTTACCTTATACTACAGCCATCTCGGTGGGTCCTTAAGATTTAATATATCAAGGTTTAATGCTATATTTTTTTCGGTTTGGTTTTAAGAATAAGGTGAAGTGATATCAAGATTTAAGGTTTTATGGTTTTATATCGTCAATAACAGCATTTAGGAAAGAGGTGATAGTCAGGTTTAAGGTTTAAAGTTTTATTCGGAAGTTTTAAGAAAGAAGTGGTAAGTAAGTATAGTGTTTAGTGATTTTAGAAGTTTTAAATGGTGATAATTTTTAAAAGAGAGAAATGACAAACAAGTTTTAATGGAAGTGATGTCAAAGCTGAAGTATTAATCTGGTTTAACACTCAAGAGTTTCCCAGTTTTAAGAGGAAAGATAAAAACCAAAGGCAGTTTTATCCACGTTTAACACTTTGAGTTTTCTTTTTTTGCGAGAGAGAGAGAGAGAGAGAGAGAAGAGGGGAAATAAGAACCAGTTTTAAAGTTTTGAATCAAAGTAGCATTTATTATTTAACTTGTATTTGTTAAGACATAATTATCGAGACAGACAAACAGACATTGACAGGGGTTTAAGACAGTATGGAACGTCGCGAAACGAACTTCCTTGGCGCTGTGTACTGCCTCGAACACCACCACCTGGAACAACACAACACGTGAGGCGGTTGCTTCAGCTCTCAGTATAACATAGCTAAGTCAGGTCACACATGGTGATAGTAATTGTAGAAATGATGAAATGGGCTCCGATCCAGTGTTAATAGGCCTCAGTGTTAATAGGCCTCAGTCTTAATCCTCAGTCTTAATAGGCCTCAGTCTTAGTAGGCCTCAGTGTTAATAAGCCTCAGTCTTAGTAGGCCTCAGTGTTAATAGGCCTCAGTCTTAATAAGCCTCAGTCTTAGTAGGCCTCAGTCTTAATAGGCCTCAGTCTTAATAAGCCTCAGTCTTAGTAGGCCTCAGTGTTAATAAGCCTCAGTCTTAATAAGCCTCAGTCTTAGTAGGCCTCAGTCTTAATAGGCCTCCAGTCTTAATAAGCCTCAGTCTTAGTAGGCCTCAGTCTTAATAGGCCTCAGTCTTAATAAGCCTCAGTCTTAATAGGCCTCAGTCTTAATAAGCCTCAGTCTTAGTAGGCCTCAGTCTTATAGGCCTCAGTCTTAATAGGCCTCCAGTCTTAGTAGGCCTCAGTGTTAATAAGCCTCAGTCTTAGTAGGCCTCAGTGTTAATAGGCCTCAGTCTTAATAAGCCTCAGTCTTAGTAGGCCTCAGTCTTAATAGGCCTCAGTCTTAATAGGCCTCAGTCTTAATAGGCCTCAGTCTTAATAGGCCTCAGTCTTAATAGGCCTCAGTCTTAATAGGCCTCAGTCTTAATAGGCCTCAGTCTTAATAGGCCTCAGTCTTAGTAGGCCTCAGTGTTAATAAGCCTCAGTCTTAATAGGCATCAGTCTCAATAGGCCCCAGCCCCTATTAACCAGAGAAACACGTCAACCTACTGATCTCTCAAACACTACAGTTACTCCTGAAACACTTCGAGGACAACACAACACACCCTCAAGTGGTACTCGAGGGTCAATTACGTCACTAAACTCAAAGGATAAGTATAATCTTGGCTATAACTTATTATATAACAGATGATTATATAAAAGAACCTTTATATACTTTGTAGTATAGAAAAATATAGATAAATTCCAGATCTAATAAACTGTTATACATATAAAAGTGATACAAGAATTATTTAATATTGAAAAGAAAGATTAGATACTATTAGTTTTTTGTCTTAAGGAATGTTGACGTAAGAGACACGATTATAGTAATACTGGGATTAAATCAGTGTTTACCTCACCTCCAATTATCTCACCTGAAGGACTGACCAATCATCATGTGGAGGTAGCGTCATGCCCCCCTCCCCCAACACCAAATATCAAAATTAAAGTAATTGAATGTAAATACGTTATAATCTTCCCTTAAATCATTCTCTAACCTAACGTAACCTAACGTAACGTAACCTAAACCTAACGTAACCTAACGTAACGTAACCTAACCTAACGTAACCTAACGTAACGTAACCCTAACCTAACGTAACCTAACGTAACGTAACCCTAACCTAACGTAACCTAACGTAACGTAACCCTAACCTAACCCTAACCTAACCTAACCAAATCTCAAAAAAACAGTTACAAATATATATAGTCTTGGATCCTGAGGCCTTATAGAACAGGTAAATGTATATTGTACGAGTTACCTGTTGGTTCTGTGAGGTGTGTGGTAGGTAATTATATTTATGTCACTGTGAAGTTTACCTGGTGGTGTGATAGTGTCTTCATACAACACCCACATTAACTACTCATGGGACGGTGACGGCGACGTTGAAGAGCTCGGAACACGACAAACCAAATAAGATGTAATTTCAATGTTGATAAACTAGAGACTGAAGGCGTAGGTGGTGGTGTCTTATAAAAACAGACCCGCGCCTCCTACAGTGATCTTTAATAAACAAACCCGCGCCCTCTACAGTAACCTTAATAAACAGACCCGCGCCTCCTACAGTGATCTTTAATAAACAAACCCGCGCCCTCTACAGTAGCCTGAATCAAGTATCTGTTGAAGTCATGTACACATACCGCGTTAAGTCCCTTCTGCAGGAGTGGCGCCGGCAGGTACAGGGTCTTGGTAGGTCCTACATGCCAGTAACGACCCAGGTTGAAGCCGTTGACAAAGACGACGCCTTTGTTCCACTCCCTCATGTCCACCCATGTGTCCTGTGGCTCCTCCTCCAGGTACAAGGAGGAGTGGTAGATGCCTGGTCTTGGAGGTGAGCCAGTGAAGGGCGTCCATCCCGTCAGGCTGTTGATTAGTGCGGAGGTAGTGAAGAGTTAGTGTGTGTGTGTGTGTGTGTGTGTGTGTGTGTGTGTGTGTGTGTGTGTGTGTGTGTGTGTGTAAAACAGTAAAAAAATCTAATCAAAGCAAAAACGTAAACTAATAAGACTTTGACTACAAACAAACAAAAGACACTCGTGAAATATATAAAAATCATATTAATCTTTTTAGTGGAAATATTAAGTAGAAGTTTGGACACACACACACACACACACACACACACACACACACACACACATACACAAACACACAAACAAACACACACACACACACACACACACACACACACACACACACACACACACACACACACACACACACACACACACACATACAAACACACACACACACACACACATCTCAAAGTGAAGGTCAAGAGGACCCTCTCTCTCTCTCTCTCTCTCTCTCTCTCTCTCTCTCTCTCTCTCTCTCTCTCTCTCTCTCTCTCCTCTCTCTCTCTCTCTCTCTCTCTCTCTCTGTCACCATTGCCTATAATCCTCAAGGCAAAAACCAGTAATTAAATTTCCTGTTGACTCTCCAAGATCAAGGTAAGTTGCCCAGGTATAATTTCTTACCTGTGATCAAACTTAATTAACAAGGTAATTATCATACATTTAAAGTATAGGTTAAATTTAAGTTTTCTCAGGTGAGTCTATGACCTCTCGTGACTTGTCTCTGCCTGAAATACTATATACCCCACTAATCATTGCCGGAATCTCCTTACATCCCACTCACCTGTTTTACTCCTCTTCAAAAACCCTCACTCATTATCTATCACCCCCATACCCCACTCATCCATTACCTACCACCCCCTCACTCATTACCTTCCATACCCCCTCATCCATTACCTATCACCCCCACACCCCCTCAACTACCTATCACCCCACACCTCACTCACCCATTACCTACCACCCCCACTCACCCATTACCTATCACCCCCACCCCACTCACCCATTACCACCACACCCCCCACTCACCCATTACCTATCACCCCACCCCCTCATCCATTACCTATCACCCCCACCCCACTCATCCATTACCTATCCCCCACACCCCACTCATCCATTACCTATCACCCCCACCCCACTCATCACCCACTCACCCCCACACCCCCACTCATCCATTACCTATCACCCCCACCCCTCCTCACCCCCATTACCTATCACCCCACCCCACTCATCCATATCACCCCACACCCCACTCATCCATTACCTATCACCCCCACACCCCACTCATCCATTACCTATCACCCCCACCCCACTCATCAATTACCTATCATCCCCACACCTCCTTACCCATTACCTATCACCCCCCCCACTCATCCATTACCTACACCCCCACCTCCCTCACCCATTACCCATCACCCCCACCCCTCATCATTCATCCCCCACTCCCTCATTACCTATCACCTCCCCACCCCCTCATCCATTACCTATCACACCTCTCCCCTCCCTCATCTATCACCTCCTCCCACTCCCTCATCTATCACACCTGCCCACACCTCATCTATCACACCTCCCTCCCTCATCTATCACACCTGCCCACACCTCACTCACCTGGTAACAAAATCAGGTTTAAACTCAAGGGGATGTATGAGCCAATCTTCAATCTCCACTCCATCTATGAGCACAGGTCCTTCCCATAGGCCCTTCTGCTGGTTGTATTTATGCGGCTCACCGTAGTTAATTCGACCTAAGTTCTCTACAAGGATGGTCACCTCACTCACTCGGTCGTGGCCTGTGAGCTGCATTTCCTTGTCACTGAGGAATAGAGAAAGATATGTGCGTTTGTTTTCAGTCTATCTGGTAATATTGTGAAGTCATTTGATGTTTGTGAATAGGGGTGTGTGTGTGTGGGGTGAGGGTGTGGTGAGGTGTGTGTGTGTGTGTGTGTGTGTGTGTGTGTGTGTGTGTGTGTGTGTGTGTGTGTGTGTGTGTGTGTGTGTGTGTGTATGTGTGTATGTGTGTGGAGTGAGGGTGTGTGTGTGTGTATGTACATGGTTGACATAGTTAGTTATTTAAACCAAGTACAATATTAACCCCCTTGAGTACTATGTTACCTCCCTAAGTTATAATGATCCAACTGAGTACCATATCATAATCCTTTGAGTACGATGATATAAAACCCCTTGCATTCATGGGTTAAATAATCGTGTTTAAAGAAGGATTAAATCATCTAAAACATTAATTAAACCCACTTAACTCATTCAATTACGGTGTTAACTTCATTTAATTAATATATCAACAATTTAAATGACTTACCTGAGTTGTGTAGGTATTGGATTCATTAGTACTTGTTATACCTGGTGTTTTTAGTTAAGGGGATTTAGCCCATTATTCACCTGTACTTACTAGGCATTCCAGAACCCGAAGTTGCTGATATCTGTTATTTCATGATAGGGTTGAGTGATGACCACACCATCCACAAGCACCTGGGCCATATCCCTGAAGGAGTTAGGGGCAAGTTAGCTCATGGGACAGATAGGGCAAGGTGGGAAAGGGATGAGAGGTGATGGGAAGGGAGAGGGATGAGTGGTTTGTCAGGGAAGGAAAGGGGTGAGGGGGGTCAGACAAGGTTAAAGAAGGGAAAGAATGAGGAGATAAAATAAGTGAGGTCAGGTCAGGTCAGGTCAGGTGAGAGGTGTGAAGAGAGTTACTTATTAGATACAAGGAAAACATATGAGGAAGAAAGAAGAGAGAGAGAGAGAGTCTAAAATAATCACTGGATACACCACAACTGTCATCTCCACCACCATCACCAAAAATATCACCACCACTACCACTATCACCCCCCCCACCACCACAACCACCACCATCACCATTTCCACCATCACCATTCCCATCCCACACCATCATCATCATCATCATTATCATCATCATCATCATCACACCACCACCATCACTCCCACCACTTTCACTATCACCAATACCACCACCATCTTCACCATAACTCACCATTCAACAAACACACACCATCAACCCCTTTAATATGACCTTATTAACTAAAACATGGACCAACGCTTAACAAAAACATCACCCCTAAGTACAATGACAAAAAAATAATAATAAACAAAAACAAAAACAAAAACAAAAACAAAATAAAACAAAAAACAAAACAAAATAAACAAAAAACAAAAACAAAAACGAAAAACAAAATAAAACAAAAAACAAAACAAAATAAACAAAAAACAAAAACAAAAAACGAAAAAAATAGTAATAAATAAAAAAATAAAAATAAAAATATGTAGAATAAATAAGTGAATTACAGTCTTAATTGGATTTACAAAACCAGGCAGAGTTATAATATTATTACTAGTGTATTTACATGCTAATGAATAGACTGTGTTACTTGTATTACAGAATTAGATTATTTTACAAACAGGTCACTTCAGTATAGGTTAGGTCAGGTTAGGTTAGGTTAGGTCAGGTTAGGTTAGGTTAGGTTAGGTAAACTCTGGACAGGTAATAATAATAATAATAATAATAATAATAACAACAACAACGACAACAACCACAGCAACAGCAACAACAACAATAATAATAATAAAAAAAAAAAAATAATAATAATAATAATAATAATCAATAATAAAACAGTGACCTTACTTACACCTGTGATCTCATGTTACCTGGCAGGTGTAAAGGAAGTAGCCAGGGCAGTACTAACCTGACGTGACCTCGTATCTGAATGGTTGAATTGTTGTAACTAAGGTAGACATGTGTGGTATAGGCAACATAGCCATGAGCCTGACCACTCTGATTGTTAATAGGGAGAAGCTCCATACTGATTGGTCCCTCGTTACTCTCAGTACTCGGGATCTGGGAGAGACAGAGAGACACTTATGACACAGAGAGACATAGAAGACAGAGAGATAAAGAGATACTAATTTTAGAGATATATTAAGAAACATTCACTTTGTACTTGTTAGGACTCATATAACGCGCGTGTAAGTCTACATAGCGGACGAGTACTTACCATGACCTGGTTTTAAGAGGTGGTGGTGACGACATATACACAAGGTAATACAAGTACAAGATGATGTCATTAAACTCCGCCACAGTTGTTGTACCATTGTAAGAGGTTGGATTTGTAAATATATTCTCTAGCATCACACCACACATCGACAGATAATGGGACTGTATTTACTCGGTTTTAGAGTCTGGATGTGTTCAAGGAGTTTATTCAAATTATACTGAAGAAACTGAGGATTTTTTTCTACAATTGATGAATGTTTTCTTACGAATTCATGGCTTTTTTTTTTAATATAAACATCGAGCTTAAAGTTATGATTGATTTTTTTTTAATTCACTGAAAAACATGGTATTATTTTTAAATCTGTTAATTGGTCTTACGCTTGAAAGACATTGAGTAAATACTATCTAATCGCCAAAGTAGTTTCCTCATAAAGATCCATTTTCCCCTTCACTTCTCCAGTACTTCTTCCTCGTGTTCAATTTGCATAAAAAGATGTAAATTTTTGTCTCTTTCTTCTCTGTGGTCGACGATGAACAAAATGAACAAGAATATCTCATTCGTATGTAAATAGGACGGTCTTCCTTACCATCGAGAAAAACCCTTTATATCACAGAAAGAGAGACAGAGAAAGAGACAGAGAAAGAGACAGACAGACAGAGAGCAAAGTATACACAAGAGAACAGTATATATATATATATATATATGTGTGAATTTAACAGGAGTAGAACATGTTTCAGTGTGTTCTTCCATCCATCTTCTTCTCATTTGTTCTTCTCCAACTCTAAAAAATTTTCATCTTTATCGCCTATGACTTCCTATCTCCCTTTTCGTCTATCCTCTATTCCTCTGATAGTTTTCTATGTCCTTTCACCCATCCGTGCTTCACATTCACCCCAAGAATTTCTACCTAAGTACCTAAGACAATAATCAGTCGTAAGAGACGATCAATAATGGTGTTTCTTGTACGGGATTCTCTCTCTCTCTCTCTCTCTCTCTCTCTCTCTCTCTCTCTCTCTCTCTCTCTCTCTCAAAAGTGGCCTCCCAACATAATGAAAGACTTAAGTCAATATGAGTTAAGTGTGTGTCTCTCTCCTAAGGCATAACACACTCGGTTCCTGATTCTCAAAGGTAGATAAGGTAATTATTCCTCGTAAGTGAAAATATAATAATAAATCTAACTTTGTTGACATAAACTAAAAATAATCGTAAAATAACATTAAAATTTACACTGAGATAATACCTTAGTTAGGCATCATTCACAAGACAGTATTAACTTTGCTAACTTAACCTAACCTAACATAACCTATCCATTTTATACTCAAGTTAATATCAAGCAGTTAAGTGTCTTCTTATATGACAAGTTAAAGAGAAATAATCATCTTGGTTAACTATGAGAATCTATCCCTTAGACCTGTAACTTGGCGACCCATACAAGTTATAGAGACATGGAGGTTAGGTTAGGTTAGGTTCCCCACACAACTTACAGACACACGGGAAGATACACCCACAGCTTAACACAAACACTAACATAAAGACAATGCAACTCGTCCATTCGACTTACTTAAGCTAACCTATGACCCACTTAACCTCAACATTGACCTACACAAGGCTGCCAAATGACCTTGTATGACCTGGAGCACTTGTCCTATATAAAGTTACCTGCATTAGAACTTATCGTCTTTCCCTTATCCCTAGAGTCTTTCCCTTATCCCTAGATTCTTTCCCTTATCCCTAGAGTCTTTCCCTTATCCCTAGAGACTTTCCTTTATCCCTAGAGTCTTTCCCTTATCCCTAGAGTCTTTCCCTTATCCCTAGAGACTTTCCCTTATCCCTAGAGACTTTCCCTTATCCCTAGAGACTTTCCCTTATCCCTAGAGACTTTCCCTTATCCCTAGAATCTTTCCCTTATCCCTAGAGTCTTTCCCTTATCCCTAGATTCTTTCCCTTATCCCTAGAGTCTTTCCCTTATCCCTAGAGACTTTCCTTTATCCCTAGAGTCTTTCCCTTATCCCTAGAGTCTTTCCCTTATCCCTAGAGACTTTCCCTTATCCCTAGAGACTTTCCCTTATCCCTAGAGACTTTCCCTTATCCCTAGAGACTTTCCCTTATCCCTAGAATCTTTCCCTTATCCCTAGAGTCTTTCCCTTATCCCTAGAGACTTTCTCTTTATCCCTAGAATCTTTCCCTTATCCCTAGAGACTTTCCCTTATCCCTAGAATCTTTCCCTTATCCCTAGAGTCTTTCCCTTATCCCTAGAGTCTTTCCCTTATCCCTAGAGACTTTCCCTTATCCCTAGAGTCTTTCCCTTATCCCTAGAGACTTTCCCTTACACAGACTCCAGATTTATTACATGTAAATAGTTTAGTATAAGTTGTATGGTAACCTTGAAATAAAATGTATTCAAATGTATTACAATCATACACTCTTTTCTGTTTGGTTTTGAAATTTCCATATAACGAACTTCGATTTAACGGATTAATCTCTTATAATACAACCAAATACAATGAAATACAGCCAGTTACAGAAATAAAGGTAAAATACAAACACGCAGTAGATTTTGGCTTCCAGTAATCAGGATTTACCCTCAGCCTCCTACAGACCACGGGCTCCTTAGTGTCTTGGTGAGATGCCGCAGCGACAACACCAATCTCATCTTGACTTTACGTGAAGAGTGTGGGAAGGTAGGGGGTGAGAATGAAAGAGGAGGGGGAACGAGGAAAGGGGAATGGATGGGATGGGGTGGGGAGGATGGAATGGAGGAAGAATGGAAGGAGTGAGGAGTGTAATGGGGAGGGTGGGGGGGTGGGAGGGGTGGAAAGAGGAGTGAAGGGGAGATAAGGGCGAGGGAAATGGGGTGTGAAGGGATAAAATGGGGAGAAAGGAGTGTAAAAGAGAAGGAAGGAAGGAAGGAAGGAAGGAAGGAAGGAAGGAAGGAATCATGCAAGTAAGGAAGGAAGGACGTATACCTTGCTTAGAAGTGAGGTCAGGTCTATGTACTCAGTCACGGGGTTGGCCTCGTAAGCGACTTTGGGACGTTGTGGTGGCCGATCTGGATGGTCCACTGGTGAAGGAGAGAGAGAGGCTCGGTCATCTCAGGTCATCTCAGGTCATAGATTAGGTTATTGTCAGGAAGAAAACAAGTACTCCTGATAGTTGTTCTTATCAGTAGTCTATGATAAGCTGAACAACTCATTTGCATATGGGTTAAATGACTTTAATCTAAATAGACTCGCAATTACACTTCATGGGGTCCCAATTTGAGGTAATTTTGGCTTTAGAAGTTGGGACCCTTATATTTGTGATCCCATTAGGTCCCATTGGCCAGATATCACCTTAAAATATGGTAATTTATGACGTGTTTCACTTCCAACCATATATGACTTCGATCTTTCCCAAAGTAAATGGTTCCCGTGTCTTCATCTTACCACCAGTTTATTTTACCTACAATTTCCGGCCATTTAAGATACTTGAGCAATGATGGCCGCACAATTTCCTTTTCGCCGTTTATCAATAACTACAACTCGTCGAATATTCCCTCCCCCCTCCCCCCCTCCCTCCTCCCTCCCCTCCCCCCTTGTAGCTCTTTGTCGTGTGTTTTAAGATGTAAACGAGACACTTGTTGCTGTTATCTCTCCGTGTACTAAGGAGCTTTTTCTTTCCTTCAACTTCTTCCTTCTTCTCCTTTACTCCTTCTTTCTCCTTCCTTCTGTACATTAAGTTAGGATGAGATCTCACTTCATCTGTCCTCTTGCCTCTAGGATGTCTCGTTGTCTCTAGTCATCACCTTCTTCATTTCATTCCCCAGTCCTTTGCCTCCCCAAGTCCCCATCCCATCTATCCCTAGTCCTTAACTCCCTATGTCCCCATCCTATACCTGTCCCAACTCCCCAATCCACCTGTCCCTAGTCCTTAACTCCCCAAGTCCCCATCCTGTACCTGTCCCAACTCCCCAATCCACCTGTCCCTAGTCCTTAACTCCCCATGTCCCCTTCCTTGCTGCATACAAAGCCTCCGTAGACCTCTTAACCTCTCTTTACCTCTTGCATCCACCTCTCTCTCTCTCCCTGACCTCCACCCTATACCCTCACATCCCTCCCTGACCCTACCTATGCCCTCACATCCCTCCCTGACCCTATGCCCTCACATCCCTCCTGACCTCACCTGTGCCCTCACATCCTCCTGACCCTACCTATGCCTCACATCCCTCCTGACCCCTACCTATGCCCTCACATCCCTCCCTGACCTCACCTATACCCTCCCACATCCCTCCTGACCTATACCCTCCATCCCTCCCTGGCCCCCCACCTATGCCCTCATCCCTCCCTGAGCCCCACCTATGCCCTCACATCCCTCCTGACCTCATCTATACCCTCCATCCCTCCTGACCCTACCTATGCCCTCACATCCCTCCCCTGACCCCTATACCCTCATCCTCCCTGACCTCACCTATGCCTCACATCCCTCCCTGACCCCCACCTATGCCCTCACATCCTCCTGACCTCACCTATGCCCTCATCCCTCCCTGACCCCCACCCTATGCCCTCACATCCCTCCCTGACCTCACCTATGCCACCACATCCTCCCTGACCCCACCTATGCCCTCCATCCTCCCTGACCTCACCAATACCCTCACATCCCTCCCTGACCCTACCTATACCCTCACATCCCTCCCTGACCTCACCAATGCCCTCACATCCCTCCCTGACCCTACCTATACCCTCACATCCCTCCCTGACCTCACCTATGCCCTCCAGCGGGTTGTAGTTAGCCAGGACCTGTTTTGCCAGCGTGTACTTCTCGGTGTAGTCGCCAGCCTCTGTCAGCACTGCGTCGTAATCTGCGCAGGAGAGAGAGCCAGAGAGGAGGTAGAGTAACACGTGAATAACCAGCATACAAAATTAATTAACCTTAGGATTTGTAAACATACGTAGGTGTTTGAATAATATAAAATACGAAATTAAGATGCAGATAATGATTACAGAGACTTTGTATCACGAGGAAATGTGTTGGAGTTGCGAGGAAAATAAATAGGCTTTTCGACAGTAATGCCAAGTTACTTTAGGCAGTTATACATTTCACCGACATAGGTAAGTAATAGGAAGGAGGAACTCTTGACCATAGGGTAACCAGAACGCCTAACCTAACCTAATCAAATTAAACCTAACGCTAACCTAACGCTAACTAAATGCTAACAAACGCTAACAAACCAATCATAACGCTAACACTAACAAAACAAAACCAAACGCTAACTAAACCAAACAAAACAAAACCTAACTAAACCAAACCAAACCAAACCAAACGCTAACGTAACACTAACCCTAACCTAACCCCTAGACTCCGATCACATAAGATAAAAAAAAAAAACATCCCATCCAATGAAATAAAGAATACAAAAATAAAATCCCACCCAAAATAAACAAATCCAAACATCTGAGTAAAAAAAAAAAAAATACTTGAGAGCTTAAGTTTATATTAATTAAGGGATAAAGAAGATGGAATAAGAGGGAAGAGTTGAATAAGACTCTAAGATATGACTTTTTTTTTTTACAATTGACAGAAACGTGAAGGAAGGGAGCGAGTCATATTTACATACGCAAGGATGAGACAAGTGAGGGTAAATTAAGACATTGAGGAAGGGAAGGTGTTTTAAAATATGTCTTGTAAATAAGGTTAATATATACAGTACATGGGTTAAGGGGAATACCAGTTTAGTTAGGTTAGGTTAGGTTTGGTTGGTTTTGGTTAGGATTGGTTAGTTTTGGTTAGGATTGGTTAGTTTTGGTTAGGATTGGTTAGTTTTGGTTAGGATTGGTTAGTTTTGGTTAGGATTGGTTAGTTTTGGTTAGGATTGGTTAGTTTTGGTTAGGTTAGGTTAGTTTTGGTTAGGTTAGGTTAGGTTAGGTTTGGTTAGGTTAGGTTAAAAGAATCTAACCCTATGAAAGAAGTGAATCCCTTTTTTTTCATTCCACGTGAAATCTCTTTCTTACAACAATGGAATCAGGACCTGGTGTAGAGGTTGACGTTGGAGATAAAACTATGGAGATCGAGGAACTAAAACATACATAGGAGACAATTTGGTTTTAATATGGAGATAGAAAGGCCAAAATTCACGATAAGAGGAGACGTTGGCAGCGCAGATTCACCATAGGAGATACAATGGAGAACCGAAAGACACCATAGGAGACATAGGAGAACTAAACAGACTACAGGAGACATGGGGACCTAAAACTAACCATAGGAGACATAGAAGAACTGCAACTAACCATAGAAGACATTGGAACCTAAAACACATCATAGGAGATAACTAACTATAGGAGACATAGGAAACTAAAACTGGCCATATAAGACAACTAACCATAGGAGACATAGAAACCTAAAACTAACCATAGGAGACAACTAACCATAGGAAACATAGGAGAACCACAACTAACCATAGGAGACATAGGAGAAGCACAACTCACCGTAGGAGGAGACATCGGGAGTGTAGTGAGGCCAGATATCAACGGTGTTAGAGCCAGCCATGAACCCGAAGCTGGTGCCGCCGATGAACATATACATATTGACGGAGGCGTTGTGTTGTAGAATCGACTCCAGTGCCACCGCGAATTCTGCCAGGGTGAGAGAGAGGAAAGGTGAGAAGGGGGAAGGAGGGGGAGAGGGGTAGGAGGAGGGTAAGAGGGGAAAAGAGGGGGAGGAAGGAAGCAGGGGGAGAAGGAGGAAATGGGATTCATGTAAATAATAATATTAATAATAACTATTATATTTATTATTATTATTAATTATTATTATTATTATTATTATTATTATTATTATTATTATTATTTTTATTTTCATTGTTATATGGTCATTATTTCCATCTTCTTTCATCCTTTATATCATCAAGTCATTGTACTCGGGCTGTCATCGTACTCAAGGGGTTAAATCATCGTACTTAAGTGACTGTCACCATACTCAAGGGGTTAAATCATCGTACTCAAGGGGTTAAACCATCGTACTCAAGGGGTTAAAACATCGTACTCAAGGGGTTAAATCACCGTACTCAAAGGGGTTAAATCATCGTTCTCAAGGGATTAAATCACCGTACTCAAGGGGTTAAATCACCGTACTCAAGGGGTTAAACCATCGTACTCAAGGGGTTAAATCATCGTACTCAAGGGGTTAAATCACCGTACTCAAAGGGGTTAAATCATCGTTCTCAAGGGATTAAATCACCGTATTCAAGGGGTTAAATCACCGTACTCAAGGGATTAAATCACCGTACTCAAAGGGGTTAAATCATCGTACTCAAGGGTTAAATCACCGTACTCAAGGGGTTAAATCACCGTACTCAAAGGGGTTAAATCACCGTACTCAAGGGGTTAAATCACCGTACTAAAGGGGTTAATCACCGTACTCAAGGGGTTAAATCACCGTACTCAAGGGGTTAAATCACCGTACTCAAGGGGTTAAATCACCGTACTCAAAGGATTAAATCACCATACTCAAGGGGTTAAATCATCGTTCTCAAGGGGTTAAATCACCGTACTCAAGGGTTAAATCACCGTACTCAAGGGATTAAATCACCGTACTCAAAGGGGGTTAAATCATCGTACTCAAGGGGTTAAATCACCGTACTCGTTAAATCACCGTACTCAAATCGTTCTCAGGGGTTAAATCACCGTTTCAAAGGGGTTAAATCACCGTACTCAGGGTTAAATCACCACTCAAGGGTTAAATCATCGTACTCAGGGTTAAATCACCGGACTCAAGGGTTAAATCACCGTACTCAGGCATTAAATCATCGTACTCAGGGGTTAAATCACCGGACTCAAGGGTTAAATCACCGTACTCAAGGGGTTAAATCACCGTACTCAAGGCATTAAATCATCGTACTCAAGGGGTTAAATCACCGGACTCAAGGGATTAAATCATCGTACTCAAGGGGTTAAATCACCGGACTCAAGGGGTTAAATCATCGTTCTCAAGGGATTAAATCATCGTACTCAAGGGGTTAAATCATCGTTCTCAAGGGATTAAATCACCGTACTCAAGGGGTTAAATCACCGTACTCAAGGGATTAAATCACCGTACTCAAGGGGTTAAATCATCGTACTCAAGGGGTTAAATCACCGTACTCAAGGGGTTAAATCATCGTACTCAAGGGATTAAAGCTACACATGACCTCAAAATCCTACTACATAACCACCACATATTTACATATCGCTTATATTCACCTTATGTGAGTATAACCTTTCCTTCACCGCCCCTCACTCCACTCCTCTTCCTCTCTTTGTTATCGCTTATTTTTTCCCAGACAAATTATCGCCCCCCCCCTTGCCTCCTTCTCCTCCTCCTCCTCTTCTTTATTATCTTCCTTCCTTTCATAATTATTGTTTTCTTTCCTTACCTCTAATTCCTGTGTGTTAATGTGAGTTTTTCTTGTGTTATATTTTTATCAGAATTTATCTCTCTCTCTCTCTCTCTCTCTCTCTCTCTCTCTCTCTCTCTCTCTCTCTCTCTCTCTCTCTATCATATTCATACCTCACCTGTACCTAATTACAACACCTGTTTATTTTCTTCCCTAAAAGATTAATATTTTTTTTTAAGATAATCTCGTGTTTTGTTTTGTTTTTCGAAATCTGTTTTGTTTATTTACACCTACCCTTTTTTTTTTAGTTTTTTTTTTAATCTTTTGTTGTTGTTACTGTTGTTGGTGAATTTATCTTCCATAATAATTGTCAATTGTCAAGCCCCTTCAGTATCATTCGGTACAGTTCTTACTTTCATCTCTCTTTCTGTGTCTTCGTTCGCTTTATTAATTTCTTTTGTTTTTATATGTTTATGCTATAGTAAGTTATTTTTTTTTATATATGTTAGTTTAATATATAACTGTATAGAATATAATATTAACCAACATATTATTAAAATTGTGAAATAAACAGCTTTAATCTACTCGTCATTAACAACATTATAATACTCTGCTCTATCCATCTACCCAGAGATAAACAATTCCTAAGTAATATCTACCCATCTACCCGCTACTCTATCTAACCTAACCAAACCAAAACTAACCTAACCAAACCTAACCTAACCTAACCTAACCAAGCCTAACCTAACCTAACCTAACCAACTTGTCCTAAAAATACCATCAACGCTCAGATTCAACGACACACTCACTCATATTCTCCTCAGCTATCATATATTTTTCTCCTTAATACCCCAATATTATTAAGTGCCTTTCTTGCCAGTCTATCAGTATCTCCTCATCAATTAACGTCACCCACAAAAAAACTGATAGTATCCCTTGGTATAATTCCACCCTCTTCCATCTTACAGTATTCCCTGCCTGTGGTCCCCCAAAAAATACCTTCACCCTTCTCATCGCTATACAATATGGCCCTGGGGACTTCCATTCACATCTCCTTTCATTACATTTCATAAACGGGGTCATCTCATTAAGCAAACACGAAATATCAGAGAAGCTTGGGGTGGGGAAGGGATGGACCCCAGATTACCATTATAGGATAAAACTACATTATCACACAAACAAAACACCTTCTTCTCCACCACAATTGACTGATATCCTCCCAACGTCGACATAAGCCCGCCGTGTGTTTATGCCTCATCAAAGCTTCACAATCCCTACCTTGAATAAATCTCTCACATGACTATGAATCCAGACCCCCATTCTGAAAACAAACATCTCGAGGCTCCATTCACCTGTAGCCTTGTATCATGCCTTTTACATCACGCTCAACCATTCTAACCTGCGGGACATGTTTGGGGTGACCGACTACTGACACACGTAACCCCCTACCCCCCCCACCCCCCCCTCCTCCCCCATTACCCATGAGCGATGCATCTTTTGTGAGGGGCTGTTGCATCTCTGAGTAAGGTCTAGCAGCCTCGATGTTCGCTCCTTTTAGCCTCTCTTTTACGGAATTTAAGATCTGGTCAAGTCTCTTTATTATTACTAGAGTGAAAAGTGATGTTTGTGTTAGTGTTATGTGTTATTTTAGGTATTTAAGTAACGACAAAATATTTCCTATATATAGTTTAATTTATGCTCCAATATTTTAATACATAAATGATAGACACTGGCGTTATATTGTTATTAAATTATTAAATTTATCGTTCATTATCAACAACACTTTTATTTTTACCATGAGTTACATCTCTAAGAATGTGCAAGTTGATTTTCATTGTTTTTCATCATCTAAATATATTTGAATTTTCAGACTTCAAATAACCGGAAATGTCAAATAATCGTAGTTTTTGACCACAGCCAAAAATAAACAATCCTCAGCATACACACGTCTAACACCCACGAAATGAATCAAAGTTGATCTTGACCAATCACGTGAGGTGTTACAAACCAAGCGTGCCATCTCAGCCAATCATCAAAAAGATTGGATACGGCTTAGTTCCTCAGCGTAAACGTGTCTCCAACTATCAGACTTCTACATATACACAAGAATATAATATTATACAGGGTGTTCCGTAAATACCTTTCATTAATTAGGTGGTGTATTCCTAAGACATAAATAAAGATAAATGACTAAATGACTAAATAGTTTCAGAATTACAACACATGGCAGGTTTGGTAGGGATGTGATAAAACCTACGGATACCTGCCATAAATTCCTTTGATTTCTACCTGTGGGGTCACATAAAAAGCAAGGTGTATGTTACAGAAATTAGCAAGCCGTGGGGAATTGTGGCGCCGTGTACAGGACAGTGTGACAAATATCCACAACACCCCTGGGGTCTGTGAACGTGTGCGACACTCACTCGTTCGACGGGCTGAGTCCTGCATTGAGCAAGAGGGGCGGAACTTGAACATTTCCTCTAAATGTTAATACCAATACAAATCATGTGGCATTATTATTGTTAATAAACGTCACTAGCACAGTGTATTGGGTGTTTTATATTCACCCCATATAGGTTTCATCACATTACCACCAAACCTGTCATGTGTTGTAACTCTGAAACTATTTGGTCATTTAGTCATTTCACTTTATTTATGTCTCAGGAATACACCGCCTAATTAATGAAAGGTATTTACGTCTCACCCTGCATAAAATTGGAGAGTCAGCTTTGGTTCAGAAAATATCCAAAAGTTGAGAGAGAAGGAGCCATCTTGACCTACTGATGTAAGTGTTGTCTTAGAGTGGTGAGTGTGACTAAGATGCCCCTCGTTACTGCCACACATCTGACAGATTAAACCTCACACCACAATGGACTCTCGGGAAATAGAGATTACCTTTTTCCACACCACCAAGTATAGTGATACAGGTATAGTGAAGTTTATTCCATTTAAGACGTCTTTAACTTTAACTGACCAGAAACAAACTTTGCCAAAGAAGAGATTAATTAAGGTTAGATTAAGACATAAACAAACCATCGTAATACTGTACTTAACTCATAACATTACCGCACCTTACCTTAATAACCACCTGAGCATTACGGCAGCTTACAGGTTCCCGACAGGTGAGTTGACGTGTTGTAAGTGACTTCAAGGTGTGTGTGTGTGTGTGTGTGTGTGTGTGTGTGTGTGTGTGTGTGTGTGTGTGTGTGTGTGTGCTATTCACTGTCAGATTAATCAAGTGAATTTGACAAAAATATAATA